GCCTGTCTTTGGATCTGCGCTGGGGAGCACAGGGCCCACCAATACCCATCCATCCACCTGCCGCTCCAGGGCCTGCGGGCAACCATCTCATGCCAGGCAGCCCTCTCCACCTGTGACTCATCAGTCATCTTCTGTATCCATCCACTTATCCACCCATCTATCTATCTGTTCATCCACCCATCTGTCCATCCGTCCATCCATCCGTCCATTCATCAGTCCGTCTGCCTGTCCATACATCTCTCTAGAACTCCAGGCCCAGACCTTCCAGGCAAAACACTCAGCCCCACAAGAATGTGCCCACCTCATCATGGTGTCCAGGGGTCACGGGCAGGGCTGAGTGGGTGGGACACACTTCCCCCCTGCCCTCCCAGGACAGGTGGGGTCATAAGCAGAGCCGCCAGATCACAGCCACAGCAACAGTGCTGGGAGCAACTCCCGGCACAGGATGGCCCAGGTCACTGCTGCTACCCTTTAATTGAGGCGTTGGGTGGCCACCCACCATTGAATCATAGTCAGTGACCACTCACCTGTCTGCACCTGCTAAGCTGTTCTTGATTGCCCCAGAGCCTGAGGATCACACACCTGAGCATGCTTATCTCTTCCTTCCTGCCAGCCTGCCATGGGCTGCCTTTCCCACCCCCTGCCGAGGGCGAGGCACTGTGACAAGCATGGGCACAAGGAGAGGGCGGTGGAGGAAACGAGTAAGACCAGCTCCCCAACCTGCAAGCGTTTACGGGGACCTGGGCGCAGAGAGGAGGCTGTCACACGCACGCGTCCTGTAGGCTGCACATCCCACCTCCCCTCTGGGGCCTTGCTCAGCGCTGCTCTCCAGTGGTAACTGGTCCCCGATCACCTTTCCATTACGGAAATTGATAACTTGAATTACTCCGAAAAATGAGCTCCTTCGTGGCCCTACAGAGTTAGTTTTTCTGTGTCAGCCTTTGCCCGCATGTTTCTCTCTGGGTGTGAAAACCGTCCTTAGGATTCAGCCTGGGCAGAGCAGAGTCTTCCGTCTGTGACACGAAGGAGGAGAGCGGACCCAGCCTGACACTGAGGGCCAAGCCTGTGCTCTTAGCTGTGGCGCTCGTCCAGCTACGTGACTACCTGGAGCATCCGCGTCTATAAAATAGGGACTGGAGTGCACCCGCCCATCAGAGTGCTAGAGAATCACATGTACTGCTAACTAACGTACCCAAACGTTCCTGGCTCATATTAGGGAGCCAGCGAACCCTTGGATAAACGCCTGTGTATTCTATGTAAGAACCCGAAACCTGGCTATAAATCTCCATTAGGAGGCCACTGCATAATGAGGTCCTAGTGTAACTTCAGCAATAACAATAACATCTTATGCAGGAGAAACACTCCCATTTGTGAAGATGCATTGACATAATGCTCTCACTTTACAAATGGCAAAGCTGGGGCCCAGGATGGTTACGTGAAGTACCGGGGATGGGGTGGGGAAGGGGAGGGGTCTGCGAACGGGTGCAGTCCCCTCATCGCCTTCACGCTCACCCACCTCCTCCATCCTCCCTGACTCGCAAGCCCAAGTCCCAGCACTGCCCCAGGGCGCTGCCCGCCAGGCTCAGCCACCCAGGGGTGCTGAAGAGACAGGCCCCGGGCCGGCCCCTCAGAGGAAGCGCCGTGAGCTTGGCACAGCCTGCCCCGGGCTCTGCCAAGGGAACAGATCCTCCTGCAGTCGCCAGAGCAGGTCCTGAGGGACCTCAGAAGGCTGGACCTGCAGGCAGGGGGAGAATCTGACATTACCGAACACCTATTTCATGCCAGGCACATCCGCAGCCAGTTTTCACCCACCTCTCCAAACCAGTTGTGTGCAGCCTTTTGCTGGGATGGGGGTGGGAGATTACGTACCCCTGAGAATCTCCTGGAAGCTGTGGGTTCTCTTCCCCAGATAAGGCTGCATCATTCTGCAGACAAGCCCAGGAGAGGCGGGTCAAGGTTCGGCGCTCCTAGTATAAGCCTGGGCTGTTTCAAGATTTTCTTAAACACTAGGGACCTTCTCTCTTGGACATCCCACCCCTCATCATATCAAATGCTTTCCTATCTGTCCACAGCCATGCGTGTACAGACACACATACACGAGCCTGCTGAGTTGTAGATGACTGGCACAATGCTGTCTTTTGTACCAGTTGATATGTAATAAAACATTTTCAATTTTGTGCTTGCTTTTTCTATTTTGGAGCCAATAAACGTTTTTGGTAAATAAATGTATCACACTTCAGAAAAAGACACAGGTCCTAAATGTACAGCTCCGTGGATCCTCACGAGCACCCTGGTACAGCACCCAGAAGCCACCAGGCCCCCTTCTCCTCACTATGGGGGGACCTCCCCTCCTCGGCCAGGGACAGCCGCTATTCTGCCTTCTAGCACCGTAGATTAGTTTTGCCTGTGCCCTCATTGTTTTGTGAGTGGGATTGAAGAGTTCCCACTCATTCTGAGTCTGGCTGCTTTCATGGGACCCACATTCAGGTGTCAGACATTGTCTGAGGCCTGTGAAAAGCGTGTGGGCTCCAGGTGCTGCAAACCAGGGGCTCTCAACCGTGCCTTTATTTTTATTTCTTTAATTTTTTTTTCCATTACATTTGACATACCACATTATATTCCTTCCTGGTGTATAATCCAGTGGTTGGACATACTATAACTTACTACGTGATCGCCCCAATACATGTTATAGTTACTGGAGAGGGAAGCTTTGAAAAACCCTAGTGCCCAAGCTGCACCACATAACAATGAAATCTGGGGGTAGGTCGAGGCCTCAGCAGTTTTTCTTGCTCCTTGGGTGACACCATGCATGAGAAGCAGGGGCCTAAGCAATTTTGTGAAGCATTAGTAACCCTGTTTGCAACTGGGGAAACGGAGGCCCCAGGCGTCTCCACCGCTTGCTACAGTCACAAAGCCAGATCCCATTCAGATCCGACCCAGGGCGCAGTGCCTTCACCCTTCGAGAACAGGAAAGCCAAAGCCAGGTGGGGGTGTCCCCTGCTGAGACCCTCCTCACCGGAAGACCCTCTGCGGCTGGGGCGCAGGGAGACGGGGTTTCCCAGGCCACACACGCCTCCAGGAGACAGGCAGCGCCCCAGGGGCTGGCTGTGGGAGACTCACCTCATGGCGTCCTTTGCCCGGAGCTTCTGGGAGCCGCGGTAAAGTCTTTGCAGGTGGGAGAAGCTGCTGGTTGGGGTCATGGGAAAGTTACCCACAGCTGAGGACCAGCTCTGACCCAGGCCTATTTCCGGATGCAGTGCACGATGCCGCCACGTGGGGGCACCACGAGCCTCTGTAAACTGATTTTTTTTTATTTTTTTTTTCCAACACACCCCCTTCCGCCTTCTGCCTTTGGCCAAAGTCAGTCAGAAAGTGGAGTCGTGAGATAATGAGGGGGAAGGCTGCCGCCGGGGGCGGGGGCGGGGACAGGGGGTGAGGGTCTCTGTTCCTAGGGCCTGATGAAGCCTGTCTCTGGCTGACAAGGAGGATGCAGGCACCTGGCTGCAACCAGGTGGACCCAGGAGAGAGGCCACTCCCCCCATAACTAAGCCCGCAGAGGGAATGCCAGGCGGAAAGAAGCACAGCAGGTGTGGCTGCCCCATGCGAGGTCCATGAGGAGTACAGTCCACCCACACTTCTGTGATGCCTGGGCTTGGAGGTACCAGACCTGCCTCAGGGTCCAGGCCCAGCTCCAAGTCTTCCCCTGGGAACCTGGAAAACCCCAACCTTAGGATGGCTGAGGATCTCAAGCTGCTGGGGGCAGGCAGGGGCGGGGGGGAGGTGGTCTCTGAAGCTAGATCTATCATCTTCCCCACAGTCTGGAACCAGGCTGTCTAGATTCAATGCCAAGCACTTCCTAGCTGTGTAACTTTGGTGAGCCTCGGTCTCCTCATCTGTAAAATGGGAATACTGTACCCGTCACAACATAGAGGGTTGTTGTGAGGATTGAATGATGAAATACGTAGAGTCTTAGCCTAGTGCCCAGCACACAGTAATTGCTAAATAAATGCTAGCTAGCTTCTGTTATTTTATTATTACTAGCAATATAAAGAATGTGGTTGCAAACAGAAGAGACACAATGAGCCTAGAAGAACAGCGTCCATTGTAACGATCCCCACACACCCTGGGTCTGAGCAGAGGACGTGAGTCCAGCTTGCCCAGGGCTCAAGCCCAGGCCCCGCTGCCCCTCAGTAGTAACAGCAAGTATGAAGGCCACCCAGGGTGTTGCTCAGCACAGCCCTGAGGGAACCCCTCCCCAAACCCATACCCAGAGACTGGAGCTGTTGTTCCCAACCTCTGGTGAGAGCCTCTCTCGGCCCAAACACTTAAGTGTGTGACCCCGCCTCCCTGCATCCTTCGGCAGCTTCCACCTGGGTGCCACCCTCGGTGTGAGCGTGAGCACTGGGTCCAGAGACCTTGGTTCTAAACTTGGCATCAACATCATCAACCGTGTGTCCTGGAGCCACTCACTCACCCTCTCTGGGCCTCTATTCTATCTCATTTAGATGACCTTGAAATCCCCTCCCAGCTATAGCATATGGTTTTAGCAAATGTGTGGCACACAGTGGGTGTTCAATAAATGTTATTTTATGAAACCCAAGACACAACTCTGCTAGAATTCAACACCCACACACCTTTTCAGTCTTTAGAACTAAACGAATTGTGTGATCCAACACCTAACTGTCCAACCCAAGGTAAGAGCTCAAGAAATGGGTATCTATTGAATTCACTTCTTACTTTTGACCTGGCTTTCAGTCTAACCAGATCCCCACCTGAGACTGCAGTGCCCCATATGAACTACAGATTAGGGGATCTGGAGTGTAAACCGCCCCCCCACCCACTAGACCACAAGCGTAAGGAGACAGGGTCCATCCTGCAGCGTCAGGCCACTCAGCCCACCTGCTCGGCGTGCGGTGGGCGGGCACCTCCCCGCCCCTCCCTGCGATCCTGGGGCAGAGAAGTGTCCTCCCTCACAGCAAGGAGAGAAGCAGCACAGAGCCTCAAGCTCAGCAAGTTCTTTTATTGGAAAAAGAAATAACAAAAGGCCACCGAGTCACCTGTGCCCAGCCATCCCATGGAGAGGCACAGTGGGCTGGGGTGGGCTCAGGCCGGGGCCCGGGTCAGGGAGCTATGGAGGAGCCCACTGGACTGCAGCTCTCAGGTGACTCTGGATCAGAACCCACTTGGGCTCAGGAGCTGGGACACCCTCCCTAACCCTCGGGGGGGGGGGGGCGCGTGTTGCTCCTGTGACCAAGGAAACCAGGCCCTCCCCGGTTTCAGAAAGCTGCCTGCGGTGGCTGGTCTCTCCTCTCCCCTCCCAGCACCTCCAGCCCCCGGGGCAGGCAGCCTCCGGGGTCCACCTGCAGGGCACCCGGACAGGCAGCCTCCTTCCTCGGGCACCCTGAGCCTTCGCAGCAGGGACGTACGGGCTGGACGTCCCTCTTTCCTCTCCAGAAAGAGGTTTGCCTTTTCCCTGCAGGCGGCCGGCTCCTCTGAATGTCCGAGGAGGCCTCACTGAGCCTTAGAGACCCCGGAGGGTGGGCGGGCTGAGCGTGCAGGGTCTGTGGCCCTGCTGCCTCGTCATGGGGGCTGGGACAGGGGCACGGAAGCCCCCAGGGGGGCTCTGCTCTCCTAGAACCCCAAATTCTCTTCTGCTAGCATGTGCACAGAGGCGTCAGGTGGTAAGGAGAACCTTGCAGGTAGGGAAAAGGCCTGGAAGAAGAGCCAAGCTGGCAGCCACAGGGCAGGGGCAGGGGCAGGGGCAGGGGTAGGGGCAAGGGGCGAGGGGCTCGAGGGCATGTATTTACAGAGTGTATTGCAAGGGGTTCTGGGCCCATGCAGAGCAGCAGCCACAGACCGTCACGCTGGAAGGTAAGACAGGATGCAGAGAGGGGCAGTCATCTGCCTCGCAGCCAGGGGGAACATACAGTGCACTCTCACACACAACATGCACTCACATGTGGGCACACTCACACCTAGGTGCACTCACATGCAGTCACACACCTACACACACATGCATTCACGCACAGAGTGCACTCACATTCATCCTACATGTGCCCCCACTCATGCTCACATACGTGCGGGTTCTAACCTCGGAAAGCTGGATTCGGTTCTGGCGGTTCGAGCCCCCAAGGCTGCATCTCTCCATGGAGCCTCCCCGGGACCCCACATCACCCCCAGAGCCCGGCTGTGTCCCAGACCCGCTGCCCACAGAGTCCGGGGAGCTGGATGCTTCTTGGCAAGGCCAACGTGGCCTCAGGCTTTGGTGGGGGACAGGGAGCCCTGGGTCTGAAGGCGTTCAGAAGGGGACTGAACAGCTAGCTCTCCACCACGGAGGCGCCTGTGGTCTGACCACTCCCATCTCCCCAGGCCTCAAGGCAGGTGGAGGCAGGATCACAGACAGGCAGAGGCCCAGCGTGACATCAGGAAGCACAGACACGGGGAGTCAGCCGTGGGGCGCAGGGCCCCCAGGGGAGAGTGTCCTGGGGACGGGAGACATGGGGCGAGGAATCATGCAGGACGGGGATTCTCTGTGTTACACGCCCGGGCCCTCTCGGGGTATTAAGAGTGCTGCTGCAGAAGAAGTGGATTGTCCAGATTGTGTTGTCCCCACCCCAGCCTCCGTGTGACCCGGACCAGCCTTACGGGGAAGAGCCAGGTCAGGAGGAGGACCGTCCTTCCCGGGGCCACGGCAGGGTGCGTGGCGGATGGCCTGCGGCCAACCCTGGCCAGTCCCCCTCCCGCCCGCCCGCCCGCCCGCCTGGGCAGCAAGTGGGCCCACAGTCGGACTCAGAAGCGGGTGCTCTGGTAGCGCAGCCGCCGCAGGTCTGCAAGGCCCGGGGTCCGGCCGTACACCTCCCTGCAGGGAGTTTCGGCCAGTCACCGGGACCCCGCCCCGCCGCCCCCGCCGCTGCTGCTTCCGCTGCCGCTGCTGCTGCTGCCGCTGCTGGAGCTGCCGCTGCTGCACCGGTCCTCGTAGATGGAGATCTCGATCTGGGGCCGCGTTAAGGAGGGCTGCCGGCTGCCAGCAGGATGGAGGCCAGCTAGGGGAGCAGGAGGCACAGCTGGTCCTGCTTCCTAGACAGTAAGAACCTGAGGCCTGGGGAGCTAGATCCCAAGCCCCATCTGCACACTCGGCTCAGTTATGGAGACTGGCAGGGCCAGGCACTGTGAGGGTGCACAAAGGCCCAGGAGCTCACTTTCTAGTGTCTAATCACTGAATCCCAGGACAGCACATGCCAGGGATGTGGTGTTATTATTCAGGACTAGAGGCCCGGTGCATGAAAATCCCCTAGCCCAGCCTACCCCTCTCACAATTTGGGAGCCCTCAGGGGCAGGAGGCAACCTGATGATCAGGGTAAGGTGATGCCACATCACACCTCTGCTGCTGCCACTGCCGGCAGCATAAGCCTCCGGCTTCCCTGAGTGACTGGGGAGCTGAGAGGACTGGGGGACTCTGGAGGCAGGCACCCAGGCAGGGCTGAAGGGACTGGGCACTGCCATCTTGTGGCTGTGGGTGCTGCCATCTTTGAGGATGGGGCAGTTAATTAGCATGTTCCCCTCCCTATTGGCTGTGGGTGCCCCCACCTTTGAGGTTGGGGCAGTCAATTAATATATCCCCTCCTTACTGACTGTGGGTGCCGCCATCTTTTGTGATGGCATGAGGGTCAATTAGCATATCCCCTCTCTATTACTGTAGATAGGATGTGCAAGGTCTTTGGTGTCCTGAGTTCAAATTCCACCTCTCACTCTAAACCAGTCACTTGTTGCCTGTCCGTTTTCATGTCTGTAAAATGGGTATAATAATAGAATCTTGGGGTTGTTGTGAGGCTTAAATGAGATAAAATGTGCCGGTCCCCGGCACATAGTACAGGCTCAGTAATAACAAGCGCTTCTCGCTGGGCTCTGTAAATGTGAGACTCTGGTACTTGCATTTTCTTTGCTTCATTTTCTATTAAAATTTGTTTTTTAACCATTCTATTCTTGCTGCTGCTGACTGGGGAGGGAAGTGTGCACACTAGACCAGGTGGAGTGAGCAGACCTATAACCCGGCCTCGTTTTTCTCATCTGTGAAAGGGGGACAACAGGACCTCCCATGGGGAATTAAGGAGGTTTATATGATACTAGTGACCCCGTGCATGGATTCATGCACATTGAAAGGAAAATTAATTAAAAGGTGGCCAGTGGGGCGGGACTGGGTGAGACGGGCCATACACACCCTGAAGCCAACCTTCCATGGTCCCACCCCAGCGTTTGCAGAGTGAGCGGGGTCTCCCCAGGAGGTGGGGTTCCTCAGCCTGGCTTATGGGGGATTGGGCCAAAACCGGCTCTCTAACATCCCCTGAGGGGTCTCAGAGTGTGTGTCATACAGGGTGTGGAACTCAAACAAAAGTGTGCAGTACACCAGATTTGGGGCCGATAGTGCCTCAGCAATAACATAACCCTCGGCCAAAGATAGAATTGTGTGGCCCCGTGAGGAATCAGGCTCCCTCCTCTCTGTTGCGGGGTACATCACCCAGAGAACTGCCACTGCCAAGTCAGTGCTGCTCGGCAGCTTCTGCATTGAGCGGCTGCCCCCTGTGGTCAGTGTGCATCATAGCGACCAGTCAGGCAGGGAGAGGAACACTTAGCATATTAGCCTTTTATATAGATAGATTGTAAACATGTAAATATAGGTGGCTATTTGCATATTCCCTGAGGGGCAGTATAGCCTTGCAGTTAAGACTGGGCCTGGGCTCAAATCCATGAGCCAGTGACTTACCTTCAGTGTGCTCATCTATCAAGGGACATAATGTTACCCACATTATAAGGGTGTTGTGAGAATCACATGGACCCATAGTTTCAGAGCACTTACTCTGCCACCTGGCATGCACTAAGCACTGAGTAAATGCAGCTCAATACATAAAAGCAAACCCTGAACTTCACAAACAGCATGGATAACTTATGGTGAAGGGAGAGGGTTGGTGACCAGACATGTGGGGCACCCTAAAAACCCTAGGGTGGTCCCATTTCCTGGCAGCCTCACCCCAGACCCTACTGACTGGCAGCCCTGTGCCCCTCATACACACACACACACACACACACTCAAAACAGACAGGAAGGATACAACCCTCATCCCACGCTCAACGGGGTCCGTGAGCAGGAGGCCTCGAGGGGCAAAGATCTTCTCATTCTGCTCTAGGATGTAGCGCGAGATCTTCTTGAGAACCTGCAAGGAGAGGGGCCAGTTGAGGATGCAGTGTGGCCGGGAGCCCTGGGAAGAGGGTGTAGGGTGGCCGGGGAGGGAGCACCTTCTCGTAGTGGGTCTCCATGCAGAGGAAGATGAAGTAGGCAGTGGCGCAGGCCAGGCAGCCCTCTAGGTAGGAGCTGCCCCCGATCTTCTCCGCCTCCGCGTAGAAGCCGTTGAGGGTCTTTATGGTCTCTTCAAAGAGCTGACGCTCAATCTGGAGGGAGAGAGGGTCAGAGGGCGAGGCCGAGGTCAGCCTCCCTGGGGTGTGAACAGTCACCGGCTGAGGTGGGGGGAGTGGTAGGACCACAGCAAGGGTGGGGGCAGCGCCCAGGCAAGACCAATGGGCTGCAGGCGCCGGTGAAGGAGCAGAAAGAGCACTGGACTGGACGTCAGGAGACTGGGGTTCAGACCTGGCCGTCAGCTAGCTATGTGACCTTGGACTAAGGATCTAACCACCTAGCCTCAGTTTCCACATCTGTAAAATGGGAATAAAAATGCTACTTGGGCCCTTAGCTGCTTTGTCTCAATGGATAGAGTGTCGGTCTGCAGATGGAAGGGTCCCAGGTTCGATTCCGGTCAAGGGCAAAGCCTGGGTTACCAAGTTCGATTCTCAGTAGGGGGCGTGCAGGACGCAGCCAATCAATGAGTCTCATCATTGATGTTTCTCTCTCTCTCCCTCTCCCTTCTTCTCTGAAATCAGAATAAATAAATAAATAGTATTTAAAACAAACAAATAAAGAATTCTTTTTTTCATCCTACTTGGTTTCCTTTGGAAACAGGAAGCTCCTACAATATCCTAAATGTGAATGCTTTAGGCAGAAATTCAGTGACTCTGTCACCCCCCACCCCTGTTCTGGTGGCTGTGAGCGCTCAGGACCTCATTGGTAGGGGCTCCCATGTTTGGAAGGGACTCCAAAGGCACCAGAGCATTGGGTGAGACCTCAGACGTGTCTTCCCTGGAAGGGGCACGTCCTCCTAGACAAGGATTCACGCAGAACACGACCGTTCGGGCCACAGGGAAGCTGGTCCCCCCTCATCGGTAACCATCTCAGCTAACATTTACCTACTCAGCACTCCCCCTGGGCCCCGCTTTTCTAATGCATTCTTCCACTTAACCCTCATACTTCCTCCTATCAGAGAAGCGGGGCTGTCAACCGCTTCCATTGGGGAGCACTGCTTGGTGCTCCAGCCCCGAACTCGTTTCCTTGCCCCCAGCCCAGCCAGGACAGCTCTGAGCAAGAGCTTCCCAAGCCTTCCGTCTCTTTCCAAGCAGGACCCAGGAAGTCCTCCACGGCCTGACCCTGGGCCCCGCTGAGCACATCTCCCACTCTGCCCCTCACGCTGGCCCCACACGAGCCGCACCGACCACCATGCTGCTGTTTGCCACCACAAACCTCCTCCGCCAGACCCCACTGTCCCCTGCCCTGTTCCCTGCCGCCTCCTCCCTTACTTCCCTCAGGCCTCACCTTACCCCACAGGCCACCCCTGACCGTTCCCTATCTCTAGCTCCCTCTATCCAGCTTGCCCACCCCTTATGTTTCCAGTATTTGTGAGCTCGTTAGGGGATCAGATCAGCAAAAGCCAGGCCTGTCCCACCTCCCCAAACCCGTTTAGACCTGCCTGGCTGCTGAATAAAAGGGTCCGGGTCTGCCCTCTGCCCTCCCCCAAACCCAGAGCATTCGAAGCAGCCTGGGATGGAGCCTACGCGCCCCTCTCCCCGCCAGAAACCAGGAGCAAAACTCCGCCGAAAGAGCTGATGCCAGGCCAGGGGCCGGAGGTCCCTGAGACACACAGAAGCTGGGGAGGGCTGTGGGGAACAGCCCGGACTTCAGGATCCTTCAGGGCTCCCCAGAAAATACTAATGTGGGTGAGAACTGCTGCTAAACAGTGGAGATTCCTGAACCCAGTCCCAAACACGGACCAGGCCTCTCTGAGGATACCTGGTACCACCCACCAGGCCTGGGGAGTTTACATTTAACAAGCTCTCCAGGCAGCTCCCCCACTACTGAACTGTGAGAGCTGCCGGACTAGAAACTGAGGCTCCTTCAGTGCCGGCTTTCACTGAGGCAACAGCACGACCGTGTTAAGAATGTTTTTTGGCCGAAGCCGGTTTGGCTCAGTGGTAGAGCGTCGGTCTGCGGACTGAAAGGTCCCGGTACGATTCCGGTCAAGGGCATGTACATTGGCTGCGGGCACATCCCCGGTGGAGGGTGTTCAGGAGGCGGCTGGTCGATGTTTCTCTCTCATCGACGTTTCTGGCTCTCTATCTCTCTCCCTTCCTCACTGTAAAAAATCAATAAAATATACTTTAAAAAAAAAGAAAAGAATGTTTTTTGTTTTTTAATTCTTCCGTGTGAAGTGGCTGAATCAGTGATGTGTCATACACTACTTTTATCCTGGGGGTAAAAATACACGTGACTAAGCCCCTCAGGCCCACCCCGGCCTGTGTCCCCAGCTTAGAAGCAGACGTCCTTACCCGGCCGTCCAGCTCCGGGGGGAACTTGGTCTGGAACTGACAGATGGTGCCGTCGCTGTAGTCCCTCTGGATGAAGATCTTGGTGGCCAGGGACGCGCTCCGCCGCAGCTCCTGCAGGTTGTGCACCTGCGCAGGCGAGAGGAGACCGTCCAGTGACCATCCCCCCAGGTCTGTTCCAGACGGAGGGCATCTGGGGGTGTGGGTCTTTCAGCGCTAAATTCAGGAACGTTTCTGGGAAACTGGGACCAGTTGGCCTCTACACTAAGGCGACCAGACGTCCTGCTTTTGGCGGGACAGTCCCAATTTTTAACGATTTGTCCCGCATCTGGCGGTGTTTATAAAAAGTCCCTTTTTTTTTTTTTTTTTTTTAATCGGGACTTTTTTAAAACGCCTCGGACGCGGGACAAATTGTTAAAAATCAGGACCGTCCCGCCAAAAGCAGGATGTCTGGTCACCTTACCCTACATGTGCTCCAGGAAGGTCACGAGGAAGCAGGACTATAGTGTTCACCCCCAGGAGATGCCCTGAACAAGCCCAGGAAAATATAGAAAAAGCCTGAAGCAGAGCCAAAACTGAGCCAAAACAAGGGGTTCTGGAACCATCAACAGAGCCAGAAACAAATTTTAACCAGAGGGAAAGACTTCTTGATGGCTGGCCCAAATACACACACACACACACACACACACACACACACACACACCTGATGAGGCTTCCATACTTCCATTCATTCATTCAGCAAGCATCAAATGGTCACAACTTGCCAAGCCTTGGCTCAGGGGACCCAGTACTGAACAAGGTTGGAATGTCAAACTCTGAGTGGCACTTACAGCAGGTCTGGGAGAGAGGCGTATGGGGCAGAGAGGTACTTGATGTGCCTGGAACTCAGGGAGATTCGGGTTCAGGCCCAGTCAAGTAATGGCCTGGGTAGGAGAGCACCAGGAATGGTTTTCAGGCCCAGCACTCTCACCTTAGGAAAGGAGAGTCTCACAAATGTCCCAGGCTCCAGAGAAAACTGTGGAGAAAGGGGGCTGAAGCCAGAAATAGAAGCAATTCCTTGCCCTGGTAGGAAGGAGGGGGCGATTTCTGTCCCCTGTCCACACCTACAGACTCGCCATCGACACAAACTAGCATTTGTGGGATGTGGACTCAACTCAAAGAACAGGGCCCCTTTCTTCCACTCCCAGCCTCTCATCCAACGTTCCAGACAAGCAACCCACTGGGTGAAATATGCCAGCCATTAGAGCCACGTGGAGACCGGGCCCCACAGGCAGAGTGCACACACAACCAGTTCATCCAGTGTAATTAAAGCGAGTCCATTCAGTCACTCGGCTTTCCTTTATTGAGTCCTCACTATTGCCAGGCTCCAGGGATGCCAAGCAGAAGACAGTCTGTGAGCTTCAGGGAGGGAGACAGGTAAATATATAATGAAGTCGACTGTGATAAATGCTACGGAGAAATAGCCTCTTTCCCAGAAGCACAGGCTCAGAAAGGCTTCCTGGAATCCTGTTGAGTCATTAAGGAAGGTCGGGAGTTACTAGTGGCAGGGGCAGGGGTGGGGGAGGGGGGGATTATTAGGAGGAAGAGGCAACCCAGACAGAGGGAGAAGCTTGTGCAAAGAAATGAAGATAGCAGAGAAGGTAGTCTACTCCAATGAGAAGACTTCACTGGAGGCAGATTTCAGCAAGTATGGAGTTGGTTTGCAAATCAGACAAGAACACTGGGAATAATATCGAGGAGAATTAGATTTAAAAAACTACTAGAGGGGTTTTTGAAGGGGAGGATTTTAAGATGGAAAAGAGTTGCTTAAAAGCTGTGGGAAGAATAAGTAACGTGAAAAAGATGGTCAATATGGTAGCTGGAGCAGATAATTGGTAGATCAAGGTCCTGGAAAGGTACAAATCAGAGAATGATCACTATTTGAGTCCTTCCTAATTCCAGGTGAGCCTTGTTCTGCCTAAGAGATGTGATCCCAAAGGATTGGGATTAGATTAAATAACGTATGCGTACTCCTCTAGTCTTAATAGTTCTTGATTCCTCTAATCAAGGTTTCCATTGAGATGTCTTCTTGACATCTACTAGGATCCTATGATGACTTGGAAAAATAAAGAATGCTTTGCTTATATAAATAAGTTATTCATCATTGTGTCTGGCTAAGGTTTTATATTTTTTATTTTTTAAGGAAAAGGGTGGTGGCCTTTTTCCTAACCCACTGACACGAGCCAGTCCATCTTGAGGATAGATTCCCCTCCCCGGAAGGATCATTCTGGAAGCTTTGTGAGTGGTGCACAAGAAGTGGGCATGACTGGCTGAAACCGGTTTGGCTCAATGGATAGAGCATCGGCTTGGGGACTGAAGGGTCCCGGGTTTGATTCCAGTCAAGGGCATGTACCTTGGTTGCGGGCATATCCCCAGTAGGGGGTGTGCAAGAGGCAGCTGATCGATGACTCTCTCTCATCGATGTTTCTAGCTCTCTATCTCTCTCCCTTCCTCTCTGTACAAAATCAATAAAATATATTTAAAATATATATATATTTAAAAAAAAAAAAAGAAGAAGAAGAAGTGGGCATGACTGGGGTAAGGGGCTACTTGGAAGGTTGACTAAAGTGGGTCCAATTCCAGAAAAATGTGGCGAAAATGCAAAGAAAAGGAAATGCCAGTGCTTCAGCCATTCTGACATGGACTCAGCTTCCTCCCCTCCAACATCCTCCTTTGTCTGAATTCACACACATGCCCTGTGGGCTAGCAGGCCAGGATGTGTCTCCAAGGACTGGCTAGCTGATTCTTCTACCACAGCCACCTCTTCTACCTCCCCGGCACAGGGCTAGATTAGGTCCCAGCCTCCCTTGCAGCTAGTTAGGTGTGGCCATGGGCCTGCATGAAATGTGAGTGGAAGTGATAAATGTCATTTATAGGCTTGGCTCTTAAAGACCAGCCACTCCTCTGCGATCTCTCCCCTTCCATAGAAACCCAGGGAGACTCGTGTGGAAATGAAGATGGTGGGGCCACAGTTGGAAAAAGCTCGAGTCCCTAAATCCAAGCCTAGAGGAGATCCACCTGCCTGCTGATCAGGAACACCTGATGGGAAATAAACCTTCATTGTATCACGCCATTAAGATTTTAGGGTGCTACCTTACATAAGGCAGTCCCATTTACTCTTGGCTTTTACCCACAGGTTCTCAAAGTTGCCATAGTGGGAGAGGCCAACACCATTTCCAGCCCTAACAATATCCTGAGCTTCTGGACACTGTCCTGGCTTTGGGGGACCAGGGATTCCCTCCCCTCCCTGGACAGTGTTTGTGGGGTCTTGAGGAGTTGCTAGAGGACAGTATCGGATACACTTTATATGGCAGAGCCTTCATTTCCAAGATCGACTTAAAGCACACACATCACCAACTCATCTATAGTTGATAAAGAGCAGGATTCAAGACAAGGCCATGTCTCCTGGCCCTCCCAGTGGCTCAGTTGTGAAATACCAAAAAGCCCTGACGGAAAGATGGGCCACTGGTCTAGGGGCAGGAAATCAGGTGCTCGTCCTGGCCACATGAATCTAGAAATTCTTGCCTTCTCCAGGCCTCCACTTCTTCAACTGGAAACTGACGAGATTGGAACTTTAGGTAGTCATTAAAGCCCCTTCCAGCTCTGACATTCTAGATGCCTCGTCAGGGATTATGAATGCAAAAGTTTACAGGGACTAAGCATGTAAGGGGGCCAGGTGAGGACTGTGGCTAATTAGAGAACTCAAGTCCTCCGGTCTCACCTGATGTGAGGTGTGCCTGGGCTGTGATTCTGACTTTTAAAGAAAAGCCATAAATCCAGATATCCTTAACATCAAATAGCATGATTTTTAAAATATTTCAGATAAATGTTTTACATTTATACGCACCGAGCAGACCAAATAAGGCACACCTGTGAACCAGCACCATTCCATGGCAGGGGGCCCTGGGACCAGAGCAAAAGCCAGCTGTCCAGCCACTTGCCAGCTTTCAGGAGGCTGGCCAGGGTTTTTAGCCAAGATCATGAAGCTCTGAAACCCCACTAGAGTGTTCCAGAACATGCACCCACCTCTCCCGGGGGTCACAGCTGCTGTGTCTTCCCTGGGCGGTCCCCCTGGACACTGACCCAGACACCTGGGCGTCTTATCCACTTCTTATCTTCCTCAACCCTCCCCTCTCCCATCACTGTTCTCAATAGAGTTAACCTGTTGGAGGTGGAGAGGAACAAGCACAGAGTACAGATAAGCACTCCCAGGCCTGGGCTGCCCTAGACACACCGGAGGCCCCTTCTGGCCCATATCTCTATCCTCATTAAAAACAGCTAATTCTGAGGATGCTTTTGAGACTCGACTCTGGAATCAGGAAATGCAGCTGATGAGCCAACATCATGCTCCCTGGCCAGGCTGTGGGGGAGTGAGGACCATGAGTCACAGGCAGACAAGTGGGGCCTCAGGATGGAAACCTGGGCACAAGGCCTCCTTGCACCTCAGAGCCCAAGCCCAGCCCATTGTCTGCTGGTCGTCAATGTGTGCCTCCGAGATCAAACCTTGGACACATTTTAAAGTCTCCCAGGAGCCAAACTCCACCTCTTGGAGAAGCCCCTTTCAGCCAGGCATTTCCTAGCTGCCTTGGCCACCTGGGCAGTAGTCCCTGCTCCCAGTGACACACATACACAGAGATTTGTCGCTCAGGATATAGGCTCAGTTTTCAAATGAGGTCAGTGTACCACTCAGGAGGCGTCTCCCTCCTCTGTGTTCCTTACACACACCCCTCCCGTGAAGCTGACTCTTAAACAGAAATAAGGGAGCAAAAGGGTCCTGTTTCCATGCTTTCCTTATCCAGGGATCCAGGGACAGCCCATCTTTGTTAAGCCTCTCTCTTATTGCTCTTCCTCACTGTCTTCTCCCTCCCTCTCTCTCTTTTCCTCCCTCCCTCTCTCTTTCCCTTCTCCTCCCCTCAAAGCACCTTCTGCTGGAGCTAAGGACCCCCCTTCAGAATCCTAAGGGAATGGCCACAGGAGGTTGGCATGAGGTCTCCTTCTCCCAACAGGTTTTTCCTGGTGATCGTCCCTCATTCCGCACGTTAAAAAGAGCCTGGGGAGGATGACTCACTCTGCAGCCCGGATAATGTGCACGTCCTGCGCCTTGGCAGGGCGAAAGCTTCCTCCCTCGGTGCTCCATCAGAGTCCACCCAAGGCAAAGCCTGGCAATGAGCAATGTTTGCCCTCCGCTCCCCCTCCCTTGTGAGCATTCCTCTGTCCCTCTGCCCTCAAGCTGGCCCAGCCAGACCAGTTCCCACACGCCCGCCATTCCGGAACTCCTTCAAAGCTTCATGTCGAGACCCTCTAGTGCCCACCTCTCTATTGGGCAATAAGGCTGGCCAACTGAGACACCTTGGATACAGCCAAATGCTCCCTGGCCAGGGAGGCAGAAGACTCAAGTTCTAGTCCTGGCCCTGCTGATTTTTAGCCATATTTTTTTGAATAAGTCTCAGCTCCCCAGTTGCATCATCTGTAAAATGAGATAATGATGCCTTCCTTGGCTCCTTCACAGGGACCAGGCAAGCTGCTGCATCTCCACTGTCTCATCCAGTTAATTGGGAATAATAACACCATCCTTGCCCACTTCACAGGGTTGCCCTAAGACTCAAAGGAAAGCACGCATGTGATATTGCTTTGAACCCAGGAAAAGTGCTAGATTCAAGAAGTGTGATGGGGAGAATCACACATGCCTCACAGCAGCCTCTTGGAAACAGAGCATCGACCTCGAGAGGTGAGCCTGCTGTTTGGAGTCTGGGAAGCGTAGACCCGAGAGGAAGCTATGCTGCGGCAGGTGGGCCTCTTGGAATCTTGTCAGATGGCATCACGGATGCAGCTGCCTCCTCTGCCCATGCCCCTGGCCCAATGGTGCCCGTGTGGCTGACGTTTCCTTCCTGCCTAACACCTGCAGCCTCCACTGCAGTCTGACAGCCCTGTCTGGAACGTGACCTGCTCCTTGGCCATTTCTCCTTGTTCCTCCTGCTCTCCCCGGGGTCTGTGGTACTTTCTGAGCATCCTGCATCCCTCCGCCCTAGAAACCAAGCTCCATGGGGCCTGCTCCAGGCTAGCCCCTCCCAGGGTCCTGGGGGCAAGCTCCTCTAGTGAAGCCTGAGCCAAGTCAAAGCCTAAGCCAGGTCAGAAACAGGAGTGATGCTGAGCAATGGCACTGGTTCTGTGGTGGAGACACCAGCAGAATAACAATGACACTTCGTATTGAAGTCACGCTGCTCACCAGGATGCCCGGAGGCACAGCACTAAGCCATTCAAAAGCTTCTGCTGTCCCCATGGCTCAGGTCCCAGCTGTGTCAGAAATAGGAAAACACCACAAAAGAAGTCCACATCGGAACCGGGTGTCCTGGGTTCCACTCCAAAAATCCAAAGAAAGGAAACTTTCAGCTCTACAGCTGACATGCTGTGTGAGTAGTTTCAAGCAGACCCTCCCCTTCTCTGTGGCTTACCTTCCCCACTTACCAAGTGGGAACATAAAGAGCCCCATTTCCCTGATGAAAGGAGGGGGCAGAAGAGGTCCTTCCTGGCCTTGTAAGCATTGCACATAGATTCTGACCTCGGCTCTCGGCTATCAGGTCCCTTGGTTCAACTTTCAAGTCTCTTGAAAGTAACACCCCTATAGGCACACCTCGAGGAAGGCACACTCCTCCCATCAGACACAGGAGAAATGTGGACACCCAGGCACAGGAACCTCCAGTGTGGAGGATAAACGCAAGCCAGGGCAGCTCATTCAAACCAACCATTTGGGGTTTTGGCTTGGAGATCCCTTGTCTCCCTCTGGCCCCTGAAGGAAATGCTGATGTGGAGGTAGGTCTGCCATGCCTTCGCCAGGTTTTTCTGGCTCAGCAGCTGAATCGCTGCACCGCATAGCAACAGCACCCAGCCGCATTCCCTCTCCGAGGCTCATTTCCAACCCTTAGGGTAGGGAAGCTTGCAGTCGAGGGGAAGGGGAAACCCCAGCAGAAGTGCTGGAGCAGCCCTGGTTGGCGCTAGTGCCAACAAGTGGCACGGATAGCTCCAGCACTCAAATGGGGCAGATGGACAAGCCAGGGGTGAGCTGAGCTCCGCTCTTCCCCTCTGCCACTGCACCATCCACCCCTTCCGCCCCCACCGACCCTGGAAACCACCTCACCCCACCTCCTCACCCCATACCCTCCCGCCCCACCCCCGCCTCCTTTCCCGCCCAGCACGCCCCTAGAGGGGATCTGTTCCCGCAGCGGCCGGGCACTGCCACGTGCTGGCCCCCCTACCTCGGTGGCCATGTTCCGGGGGTGCTGACCGCTCGAGCCCACTGAGGGGTTGGCCAAGGCGGCTGTCCGCGGCGCCGTCCGCAGGTGGGATGGCGGCGGCTGTGAAATGGGGTCCTGGGCGCTGTCCGTGGTGCTGATGCGGCGCCGGGGTCCCGGGCGCCGGTGGGCAGGGGGCCCCGCGGGCTCCTGGGTCCGGCCGCGGTGCTGTCCGCGGTGCTGATGCGGGCGAGGCGAGGTGAGGCCGCGCCCCAGGCTATTCCTCGCCGGCCTGCCCGCTGCTGCCGCTCCTGCAGGCAACCGCAGGGTTTGGGTTTGACAGCGGCGGGGGTGCGAGTGGGGACGGCGCGGGGAGGAGGGGGCAGGCGCCTCCGCCGAGCGGGAGGGGGAAGCGGCGGCCCCCAGGCTCCGGCGCCCGCCCGCCCGCCGGAGAGGAGTCCCGCCCGCGGCCAGCGGCTCGGCTCCCGCCCCGGCGCGGAGGCTCCGCCCCTCCTGCCCTTCCCCCCCTGCAAAGCGCCCGGAGCTCTGTGCTCGCTCTGGCCTCCCGGGACCCACCAGCAGACACAGAGGAGCGAGAGGCAGGACAGTTCTGGGGCAAGACACTCCACTGGCAGAGGCTAAGGGTCCTCGGCTCGTTCGCCAGCGGCTCCGTTTCCTCTCCAGCCCTCCCCTCTGTGGTCCAGGCTGCCTCTCCCGTATATTTTTCTTCTTCCTTTCCGGTTCCTTCCCTGGGCTCCCCTCCCTCTTCCCCCCTTTCTCTCCTGTTCGCTGCCTTGAAACCTATTCGCTAGCAGAGGATACTGCAGGCCGAAGAGAGTCATTTCTTTTCTTTAAATACGTCCCCGAGTTTTCTTCCCTGACACCCTGGTCCCTTTTTTTCAAGGAGCTCCAGCATTGAAGCCAGACTGTTCCTGCCAATCTTCCTGGCACTGGCCCGGGCCCCACCCCTCTTTCCTCTGGCCTCTGAACCACCAGAGTTTACAACACATACACACACACACACACACACACACACACACACACACACGCCACTCAAAACCGCAAGCTGGCGGTGCCAAACTGGTGGGCTCACTCTCCAAGGATGGCAGATCCGGCTCCGGGGTTGCCTTTGCATTTTCGACATCACATTTTCCACCCAGATGACCTTCTGGCTTAATGAACAAAAAGGAAACACCGACACAGGTGCCTTTCACCCACCCATACTACTCCTTGTCCCTTTGAGGGGAGCTGGGCGCGTTCCTCTGCTGCTTGCTGCTGCCTGAGGGTCAAGAGCAGCAAATACAGGAGAGAGGAGCCGCCGGGAGAACTGGGCTCTGACTGCAGCCTCACAAGCTGTGTGACCTGAGGCACATGCTTCCCATCTGAGCGTATTTCTGCAAAATGTGTGGGACTTCGCAAGACTACCTCTAGTGGTTTTATTTCTCCCTCCAACCTTGTGTTTTGTGAAATTTTCAAACATACCAGAAAGCTGAAAGAATAATACGATAAGCTATACTATCTATCTAGCATGAATAGTTAACATCGCACCATATGTGCTCAATAGACAAGGTCAGAAACATGGAGGTACATGCCACTAGAAAGTGACTGGCATTAGGAGGCTTAAGTATAATACTTCACCACGTGTCTAAGAATAAGGGCGGTCTCCTACACAATCACAACATTACTAACACACCTTTAAAGATTTCGTGTCATCTAATATCCTAGCTCCACGGTCGGCAAATGCGGGTCGCGAGCCACATGCGGCTCTTTGGCCCCTTGAGTGTGGCTCTTCCACAAAATATCACGGCCTGGGCGAGTCTATTTTGAAGAAGTGGTGTTAGAAGAAGTTTCAGTTTTAAAAATTTGACTCTCAAAAGAAATTTCAATCGTTGTACTGTTGATATTTGGCTCTGTTGACTAATGAGTTTGCCAACCTAGCTTATTGCTCCTAAAACACATTAATAGAAATGATCCCCTCAAAACTTCCCCCAGAACTTTTCATTTTTAATAGCTAAATATATTGAGCACTTACTATGTGGCAGGCCATATGATATGTACTTCACATGTATTACCATATATGTAATCCTCACCATTGTTATTTGAATTAAAATTATTGAATTATTAATTATTTAACAATAAATAATTAAGTGACTTAATATTCTTTTCTTATTCCCACTTTACAAAGGAGGCGACTGAGTAAGTTGCCCAAAGTGATGTGGCTTATGAGCAATGGAGGCAAGATTCAAAGATGGGCAGTCAAGCTCCAGGGTCTGTGTGGGGGTACTGCCTCCCTCCAGCATCTTGTAGACCATAAACTACCAAGCAGTAACCACAGCTCCAACTGCCTATTTCACAGGCGAACACACTGAGTCCCCGAGGACATGCCCAGGTAGTTACAGGCAGGTGTTTTGTTCTGCCTTAGAATTTGACAAATGAGTTAACATCAAGGAACAACCTGAAAATAACTGGGAATCCCATGGTGGTCACTGGTACTAAATAAATGCATAATCTGATTATCTCTACGTATAACACTCCTGGTTCCTCACACTTGATTTTGGTCATATTAATTAGACAATGTCTGGAAACCACACTCTTCATCTGATGATGAGACCTAGATGAGTTTATTCAGTAAGTCCATTCATTCAACATAGGTTTGTCGGACATTTACTATACATCAGATACTCTTCTAGGAGCTTGGAATACAACAATGGCTAAATGCACAAAGACTCTGTTCGTTTGAACTTACTTATTAATGTGGTTAACAATAACACATTAGCAAATAGTATAAAATATGTCCAAGTATGATCATTGGTAGGAAGAAAAATAAAGCATAGTAATGAGGGAGAGTATGTGTATGACAGAGGAGAGGTTCTTTAGAAAGAATAGCCACAGCTTTTTTTGAGAAGGTGAAATTTGGTGAGGCCTGAAGGAAATGAGAGAACTTACCATGCAGATACAGAGGGAAGAGTGATCAGGACTAGAGGACAGAGTGCCAGGGCCCTGAGGCAGGAATGGGTTTAGCTGCATCTTCAAAGAATATCAGGGAAACCAGTATCTAGACTAGTGTGTGGGAAAGGGGAGGAGAGGTGGGAGCTGAGATTGCAAAGGTAGCTGAAATCAGGTCTTAAGGGTCTTGTCGGCCCTGCTAAGGTCTTGAGATTTCACTCAGCAAGTGAGGTGGCAAGCCTTAGAAGATTTAAAGTTGAGGTAAGGCCTTATCTAATTGCAGTTTCTTAAAAGATTACTCTGATACTAGTGTTGGGGAAGGCAAGGATGGAAGCAGTGAGACCAATTAGGAGACTGATAGCATCATCCAGGCCAGATATGGGGGTGGCTTAGACTAGGGTGGAGGTGGTGAGAAGCAACCATACTCTAGATATAATTTGAATGAAATGCTGACAGGATCTGTGGATAGAATGGGGGTGTTGTATAAAAGAGAGTCAATGATGATTCCAAGTTTTGAAACCTGAACCACTGAAAATTTGAGCAAGAGTGACAAAGGGCTGAGTAAGGATGGAGAACACAGAGTTTTGGATGTTTAGCTGATTTGGGTTTGAAGTTTGATATGCATGTTATACATCTAAGTAGAGTAGGCAGTTGAGGTTCAGGGGAGAGGTAGAGGATTGGAAATATAACTTCAGGCATCATCAGTATGTGAATGATATTTAAAACCATGGGACTCAATGAGATCATCTAAAGAGGGGGTATAGCTAGGAAATTTGTCCAAAAATGATCCCGGGCACTTTATTACTTACAGGTTGGATAAACAAAGGGAGACTGAGAGGAGTGGCTGGTGAGGTAGGAGAAGACCCGAGAGCGAGCGATGTCCTGGAGCCAAGCAAGACACCTGGTAACAGAGCCTGACCAGCTGTGCAGTGTGGTGCTCATGTGTAGAATAAGACGAGGACTGAGAAATGACCACTGAATGCCCTTTTAAGAAAAAGTCTTATAAGGATTTATTTGATGGCAATTGCAGGGAAATAAAATTTCAACTGACTAGGAAAAAGTGCTCTGGAGAATGGCAGTTTTGCAGCTTATTTTATACATAAAATCAAAAGACGAAACTTAAGAAGGATTACATGGAATTCATTGGTGGTAGAGTAAGGAGGCGGGAGAAAGCAAAGCAGGGGAGTCTCTGAGACTGGATAAAAAGCAAAGTGGAGAGACACATACTTCTTTTCCACTGGTGGGCACAGGATGGTTAACCTTTACAGCACAGAGAGATGGTATGGGGCCACAAGATAACACTGTGCTCTCTTGTTATCTTGTGCTGTGACTTCGAGGGGTCTGGAAAAGACAATTACTCTGACATTTCGAAGGTATGTTATCTTAGATGCACAAAGAGAAGTGACAATTTCAAAAACAAAGACTGACCTCTGTCAGGAAACCTACAGGCCTAGGACGGCGAGACTACCCACCCACCATGACCTGCTCTTCATTAGGGAGTTTTACATTCAGACCACACGATGTCGTTCCTTTCCACCTCTGAGTTTGTAAGGCTGCCATGTGGCTTTCCCTGAGCTTGTTGGGTTTAGTATGTGGCCCCTTTTCTGACAACAGCAGCAACAAGGTCACTGGTGAGCTTGGTAAGAGCCGTTCTAGTGGGAAAAGAGGATGAGATCCTAATTAAGGTAGGTTTGAAGAAGAGGTAAAATGAAGAAGAGGATGCAGAAATACTGAGAGTGCAGACAACACTTCAGAGGCATTGTGCTGTAAAAGGAGCAAAGAGTAGCATGGCAGCTTGAGGGAGAAGTAGAAGCAAGGCAGGCTCTTTTAAGATGGGAGACCTCAGAGCTTGTTTGTATGCTGATAGGAATAATCTACCGGTAGTATAGAGGGAAACACAGATGGTTCAGAAAGAGAACGTTAATTGCAGAATCAAGCCCTTAATAAGTCAGCAGGTAATGGAATCTGGGCAAACAAGAATGGGATAGCTTTGTAGAGGAGCACAGACAATGTTTCCTTCATGGTAGAAGCAGAATAAACGGCCAGAGATGTGAGTTAGGATGTTGTGTAGTATAAGAAAAGGCTTCAGCTCTACTTTTTCCTCCACTTCAACTAGTCAGAGACTCCATGCCTCATGACCTTCATCAGTAAGTACATTCAGCCATCATATACGGAAAGTTTGCTCTGTGCCAGGCATGCGCTGGCCCTCTCCTGTGTCACCCAAAGAGAGTCCTCCTGCTTGTTATTGAAATGACAAGCCTAAGACTCTAGAGAGAACCTTGAGATGATCCACACAAGGTTGAGTAACCCTCCCCAGTCAGTTTGGCTCAGTGGGTGGAGCATCAGCCCTTGTACAGAAGGGTCCCAGGTTTTCAGTTGCAGGCTCCACGTGTGGGAGATGTGTCTCTCTTACCCTGAGGTTGCTCGCTGTCTCTCCCCCTCCCTCCCACTCTCTCCTAACATCAGTGGAAGATACCCTCGAGTAAGGATTAACAAAAACAAACAAAAGGATGATGATCCCTTTTAATATCCAGCTCCCCTGACTGGAGAGAGACTTTAACAGCCTCAGCTTTTTACCACCACATTGCCTCCAGGGCTGTTATAACGATCTCAACAGACCTCAAGGCTTGGAGGCATCAAAGTAGAAGCCATGCAGCAAGGCCCACATTTGGGGTTTCACGCTGTGCTGACTCAGGGCTTCGGTGGGATGCTGCTGGATGGGCTGTTCCCACACTCCAGTCACTGGGACTAGAACTTTTTAGGCAGGAGGAAATGTTGAGATTTAATCTGACTAATCTTTATTACTCAACCGCCTTGGGACCAACCAGTCCTGCTCGAGAGCCTAGCTCTTTGATGTTTTTGTCATAAATCAATGAGCTGGCCTACAAAGTAACATCAAAGAAGACCCACTAATGAATTCACCGTTATCATTTCCAATCTATGGCTGCCTTGGAAAGTCTCCACCACCACCACCACCACCACCACCCTGGAAAAAGGACCACAGCCAGAGGAAGAAACCAAGGGATGGATTTGGAAATCATGGTATCTAGAAAGAGATGAGAGAAAAAATGAGCTTCTGCAAACTGCAGAAAAGACAGGAAGAGA